TTGATGTGGTACGCATTGTCAATCTGCTTAGCTCCACTGGGATTGATAGTGAAAGTCGTCTCCTGGCGCAGGTCCCGACGGGAGGCGAGCAGAGCGTCACCCTCACTGGCAACTGTCCAGTCTTCCCAACCGATGCTCTTGAGAACAGCGTCGGAGAATTCATCCCCACCGAAGTTGTTGTCCCGCAGCAGAGCTTCGGTCTCCACCTTCAAGTCGCCCATCTCGCCAAGCTGTTCGACAAGGGTACCAAAGGGATGCAGAGATGTGATTGGCCACCGCTTGATGCATGCAACAAAGATTCGGTTGGCGTATTCCTGGTGTTTTTCAATAAAGTCTCGAGGTGCCTGTTCGGTGGGAATGGCGATCAGAGGAACACGCTTATCGGTGGGCTTGAACCACACAATCTTGGGCTTATCCTGCTGGCGGTCCTGCTGTTGGCGACCGTGACCACCATCTCTGGCTAGTCGCTCGGCCTCCTGCTTCTCCTTCGTCGCCTGGCTACTGGGACGAAGGAGGCCCAAGGTTCCCGAGAACATTTGTCCAGCAATACGCTCAATGACGGCGACGACGTGTCCCGCATAGAGGGGCTTCTGCTCGTCACTGATCTCTTCTTCCTCAACCAAGAGAAGACTCTGGCCCTCAACCTCGACATCATCGTTCTTCTTTTGGGTTGGTCGCTGACGGAGACTGCCGCGGCGACGGATACTGCCGTCGGGGCCGACCTCCTGGCGGTCACCGTTGGCGCCGGAATCAGATCGAGACAGCTTGTCATTTCCAGCATTGCTACCGGAACGGGCGTCTGTGATGTCCTTGCGCTTCTTCTTTTCCTCCTTTTCCTTCTTCTGAGCCCACACCTCATCTACATCCAAAAGCTCGATTGCAACATAGTCTCCCTCAAGAGCACGGTTGCGATCCTTGCTTCCACAGATGAAGATATCAGCATCTAGGTCTGGTGTAGTGACATAGGCGTCAGAACGATTCTTTTTGTTTACACGGAGGATACCAGCGACCAACTGGCCATTGCTCAACAGGGCAGGAAGGTTTGCCTGAGGCAGATAAGGAGTGAAGAGGGTCTTCCGCTGCTGTTGCTGCTGTTGCTGCTGCTGTTGAGCAGAAAGCTGCGGCGGAGCGTGCTGACTAGCTTGAAGCCCGAGGCCCTGGCCGCTGAGCTGTCCATTCTGTTGCAGAGCCTGGAGCTGAGCAAGTTGCAGGGGGTTCAGTTGTTGTTGGCCACCAAACATCTGCGGAGCCATCATAACCTGACCTTGGGGCAGTTGAATGAGCTGGGGCTGTGTGGGGTATTGGAACTGCCCAATGGACCCAATAGATTGGTTCATGGATGCACGAGCACGATGGCCAGGCTGGAAGCCACTGCCCTGCTGTCCAAAGCTCTTCTGTTGATCCTGGTTTTGAGCTTGGTTATTAGGCTGGCGCCAGTTGCTATCAAAGTTCCTTGATCCAGACCGAGCGTGACCGGGCTGGCTGCCACGGCGTTGGTTATCAGAACCACTGTCATTGGAAGCAGGGAACTGGAAGCCACCGGCGCCGCGACCCGACAAGGAGCCTCGATTGCCACCAACAGCCATTGACTGACTGCGACCATGACCGCCAGCGCGGATGTTACCGGCCCGATGCATACCAAGACCTTGGGGAGCCTGTGTCGCGGGTGGGGTTGACTTGCCGTCTGAGCTCTGCGCAGCATCGGAGGAATCGCCAGAGGGAGCCGGGAACTGGAAACCAGATGCTGTCCTCTTCTGTTGCGCAAGCTCAGCAGCCTTTTTGGCTTCAGGAAGTGCAAGCGAGTGACGTCTCTGATGGCCACCACCACCAGGAGGGCCCCTTTGGCCACGCCCATGACCTCCATTCTCATTCTTTGGCTGATGGCTCTGTTGTTGGTTATAGTCCGAGTATCCCGAGGCTCCAGAGGATGGGGCTGGCGGGGGTCCCATCCCCAAGCCAGGAAGAGCCGATTGGTTCCGTCGATGCGAATGCTGGGCAGGGGCGTTCAATCCAACACCAAGTTGTTGCTGAGCCAGTTGCGGAAACTGGAAGGCATTGATCTGCGGGGAAACTCCTCCCATGGAAGCCCCGCCTTGCAGAGAGGGAGAGAATGCCGAAACTTGGCCCAGCTGCTGTGGTTGTAACAGACCCATGTTGACATATTGCTGATGCGTAGCTGCGATCTGTTGTTGTTGCTGCTGAAGCAGCTCAATCTGTTGCTGAATGGCCAATTGCTCCACTTTGGTAACGAGACGATCAGTATGTGTGAATCAGGAAAAGATACGGGTCTCAAGAGGAAGATGAAGCCTAAGGGAAGGCCACAGGAGACTTACTCATGAGGGGTGTGAGCTCCGAGGGACTTCTTCTGTGGGCGATGTGAAGCTTGCGCCCTGCGGGGCCGGGGACACCGGATTGACCCTGTTGATCCATCTTTTCTTGATGAATAGATCACCGGTTGATTTGTTTCTGGGGGAAGACGTCTGTTGTGAATCGGCCCGCTGTGGCAAAGAGAGTGTTGAAGCGATGGAATAACGCTGGTGAGCAAATAGGGGAGGGGGAAGCCGATCGGAGGCCGTCTAGAACAACGACTGAGAAATGTTGCGGTAAACTAGAAGGGAGAACGATAGGTCAGTTGACTGAGAGAAAGAGACATTTACGAGGAGAAAGTCTAGCGATGGAACATTGGTGGCAGACAAAGGAAAAAACTAGGTGATGAGGAAAGAGGCGGAAGGAGGGGGAGCTTCCGTGGGCAAACGGGAAGCTGCGATTACCCCATACCAAAAGTGACATCAACCAAGGTACAGCTGGGAAAGGAGCGAGGCGAACCGGGGAGAGAATGTGGAGGCAACAGAGCCCAGCCCGACAAGCTCATGGGAGAAGGGAAATTGAAAACGCAGCAGCTTTGACTATCTTGAGAGCTTCGATGCTTACCTGAATTAGCGATTGTCCAGCTTTTGTGGGGGGAGTTTTTGGTTGGATGCAAATTAATCCTGGAGAGAATTTGCTTTCGCACTTCTCCTTAATTTTTTTTTGCACGGGAGCGGGAGACAGCCGGTTGACTTCAAGAACGAGAAGTGGTGACTCGACGAAATTGAGAGAGAAGCAGGGAGTACCAAGAAGCCAAAGAAGCAAAACCAATATATTCAGAGAGAAAGCAAGGTCGCGATGGGGGGGGGGGGGGGGGGGGAAAGGACACCGTGCGGGGCCCGATGAGGGACAAGGCCTCGATTGACGGCAAGAACCGAAAGAGAGGAATGAAGCTCGACTAATCAAGCAGGAGGCAGAGGATGACTTGTATTTTTGAGGTTTGTGGGGTTATGATAGAAGAGTGAGAGAAGATTGAAGAAGGGGGAAAGGAAGAAGAGGAGAAAAGAAGAAGAAGAGGGGGTAAAGAGAAAAGGGAAAGAGAAGCACCGAGTTCAAGCGGATGTTTGGGAGCTATCGTCGGTCAAGCAAGCCAAAGGAGAGAGTGGAGTTGGTCCCCTTCTGCCAAATGACTTGCATATATTGTTATTTTCCTCCTCTGCAATGGGCAAAGCTCGTTTGTTCTTCTTCTTTCTCCAACGAACAGGAGTTCTTCTCGACGATTGGAGTGATGGGATTAATTGGGGTTCTGTCTGTTGAGATGATGTTACGGAAGAGAACGGAGTCTCTTCTCTATTTAATGGCAGAAAAGGGGGGAAAAGGCAACCCAAGTGATTCTTGCACCACAACGCTGTTGAGCTGACGTCTTTTCCGGCAATGAGGAGGCACGAAAACAGTCCGATTATTTCAAAACAGATAGGTTCTTGGTTCCTCCTTCAGCGAAGTCGACAAGCACACGACAAGGTGGGTTTTATCTGACAGAGAGAGAATGACAGATAAGCCAAGGCGATCAATGCTACCACCAGAGGACTGGTGGATAACCTGAAGGAATGATCAGGAAAGGCAAGAGTAAAGAGGGAGAGAGGGGACTAGGTGAAAGGAGGGAGGAGGAGGAGGAGGAGGAAAGAAGCGATAAGAGGAGAGGTGGGTGGAGAGGAGTGAAATAAAAAGAAGAAAACAATGTAGAAGAAAGAAGAAGATGGGGGGGTGGGGGGGAGGGGAGGAGAAAAGTGAAGATGTAAGAGAGAGTGAGGAGAGAGTGAGAGACAGGCAGCGTGAGGGAGATCCGTTTAGTGTCGCTAATAGTAGTCATAACCTGGCCAGGTTGCAGACCCTGTAAGGATACTACCGCGAACAATACCAGACAAAGTGAAAAAGTTGGAGTCACAAACAGATTACTGTTCCAAATGTCAATCAGATCTCATGTTCCAGTATACCAAGGTAGATTTGACTGACTCGACCCGGAGGGTACTGTACGCACTGTATGTGCACAAGTATTATTGTACTCATACAATAGGTGAGTGGTATCGCAGCTCTCACGGTCCGATGTGGGGGGAAAGGATCCCAGAAGCTACAAGATGGTAGTTATAGCCATGGTGAGTTTATTCATATGCACGCAGTCATTGTGAGTTCAATGAGAGAGAATGTGTGTCAAAATGACAGGGTATTTCAATTGACTTTCAAGGTCTCATTACTACCTAGGTTGGCTATGTGGAAGAAGCTCAGCTACCACAGCATCCGATCAGTGATGGAATAAACTTGTCACTAAACCAGAAGTTACCATACTTGGAGCTCGACAGGGTCTGGTTCCATTACAGCTCTCGTTCTCGGCCTGTCACTGGTCTTGCCACTCTTGCCACTTGAGTCGAGCTTCCATCTACAGAGAGATCGCTTGTCTAGCCACAGTATGTATGTCTCCTTTTTCATACACACAAATGCCTTCCTTCCGAGATGCTTAATATATACTCGTACATGTTTACATGTCTAGAGTGTTCAGGGGCGACATTCTCAAGCGCAGGGACTGATGATCCGGCACCGGCATTAACTTATCATTGAGTTCTCACTCTTCGGAGATGATCCACTGCGTGCACCGCGGCGCCTAAACCAGGCTTGGAGCCTATGGGGGAATGAATGGGGTCTAGAGGATTGAGTGCGTGCGGTATGGCGGTAAGCTACCGGTTAGAGTCCCAGTGGACTCAACTCACAGGTCACTAAGGCCTATCTTAACTTTTTAGGCACATCAAGAATAGGGCTACCTGCATCCAGCATGTGGGAATTGCTTAGTGAACCCCCAGATGGAAACTTATACTTCTCAACATCTCGGTTCCCATCTGCATGAATAGTAAGACCGGAGAATGATGACAGACCAGCGAGACATTACTGATAACATTCGTCTAGATTTGGGGTCCGTTCCCCCTTAACTATCCTTGCTCTGACCGTCCTCAGCAGTGTGTTGGTTGGTGTTCTTGGTGTCTTAGTGAGGAGTGGGCGAGGTATCCAGCGGTATCGATACGCTCCCCGAAGATGTCGACTTGTCCAATCGTGGGCAGGCTGGAGGTCCACAATACGAAACAGGCGGGGCTCTGGACAAATCCATGGCCATGAGGTGCTGTTGGATGTGAGAGACAGATTAAATGGAGGCGTCGACATCTCCTCCCTGGCTGAGGAAGGGTGTCAGAAGCGAGCCAGGCCGCAGAGTTAGTGACAGGCTTTTAGGAACTGTTTTCCTTCTCATCTCATCTGATCCAGCAGGAGATTGGTCGTGATCTGAATGCAGATCATCGTCGTCTGATTCATGATGATCGTGGTGTTTGCTCGACTCCGACCGAGGAACGGGGGAGGGGGATGTGGGAACCGAGCGATCCATGTTTAGCCAGGCGGTCTGGTGCAGTAGACCACGGAGTGCGTGTTCCGTACTGCCGTAGCCCCAGTCAACACACAAAACGGTGATGCAGACCAGTTTGACGAGTTTGCATCTCCCGGTCATGATGACTCAGCACCGGAGCTCTGTTCTTCCCGCAAAATGCTCCGGAATGACAGGATCGTGTACCCAGCCATTGACATCGGCAACTCCATTCCTTTGTTTGCTTCTTCTCTGGCTACCTATGCCGAGATTCCGCTCACTACAGGTCAATTGACTGGGAAGAAGGCTTCTACAAAGCTTGAACCAGCTTGTCTGGGTAGGAACGCACGCTGCCATCGGTAGGAAGTATGTGAATACTTGGTACCGAGCCTACGCGCGAGACATCTGCTAATTGCCAATCTCCTGTCATGTTTAGGTCCAGCAAGTAGTCCTGTCGGCGTCCACGAAGCTCGTCTCTACGCGCCTTTGTCAATTTTCCCACATTGGCTGTTCTCATCTCATCCTCATCCAATATCAGTTGCCGGCGTTTGGACGCCGATGTTGTTGATCCGGTTTGCTTACAATCGACTCCGTCACACTCTCTGGATCTCGAAATTGAGTCAATTGCTGCCTTTTCACGTCTTTCATTCTGATTTGTGAACAATAACCTCCGAGACCCGACACCAATTTGCAACATGGGGCGCCTCAGCTATCCTCCCCAGGTGGATAGCCCCTCAAGACAACTCCTTCTCGATCTTACGCGCGACCTCGAGCAACTGAAGATTCACAATACAGAACTGAAGAAAGTCAAAGCCTACGAGCGTCGTTCCTTCTACGAAAGCCTCGATCGTCTGGACAGCGAGCGCGAAGCCCAGCATAATGCGGCCCTTGACAAAGTAGCGCAGTTACATGACCAGGTGTTAGAAGAAGCTGAAGAGACGTTACGCGCCCATCAACGAGCAGTTGAGGAGGAGATTCGTCGGAAGGAGGAAGAAGCGCGAAGAGAGGCGGAACGTTTGGAGAGGGAGAGACAGGAGAAACAGCGACGGGAGCAAGAGGAGGCTGCCCGTCAAGAAGCCAAGCGCAAGGCTGCCGAGGAGGCCCGAAAAAAGGCGGAGGAGGAGGCAGAGCGCAAGAGGCGAGCGGCACAAGAGGAACAGGAACGCAAAGAACGGGAACGACGTGCGGAGGAGGAGCGCAAAAAACAAGAAGAGGCAAGGAAGGCGGAGCAAGAGGCCGCAGAGCGCCAGGCAGCAGAGGCACAGGAGGCTCAGACAGAGAGGCAACGTCGGGTCGGTGGAGGCCGCTTGACGGAAGATGAAGTCAAGATTCACACACGTTATGTGGAACTTCACCAGCACTTGAAGAAGTTCCGGCAATACCTCAAGGATGAAAGCAAGACGAATGCAGTCGTGAAGCAGAACATGGGCGATATTCGGCGATCCATCAGGAAGTGTGTTGGACAGCTCCGTGAGACTAAGGGAGGCAATAAGACACAGGTGAGTCTTCATATCGTTTGCGCCGTGGTCTGGATAGCAAGCTGACCATATTGCTGCTGCTTAGATCCAGGAAATTCGGACAACACTCGAAAAAGCCTCTTCCATCGCCGAGCCGTCGGTGGATGTGCGCCAGTTCATGGCTTTCCCTCCGGCTGAGATTGCCAATTCCGACAATAACAAGGTCCCCGCGCTACTGATTTACGCCCTCAACATCTTTTCCAAGGCCCTCATTGCTGGCCTCCTCCAAGAAGCCGGAATCAACATTGGGCATGCAGAGCCAGTCGGGATTGTGGCCGCACAGATCTTTTCACTGGACGCTTTTGTCTACAAGGGCCACCACATGGTGGACATCCTCCTGGCGAAGTACCGTGTCTTTTGCCCGGCGCTGTGGGGATTTTGCGGCAACGAAAAAACTGAAGGCGGCCGACGTGCCGTGGGTTGGCGGCGGGATGGGCCGGACGGGCCTTGGCTCAGTGAACAAGCCCATGCCGAACGCATGACTGCTCTCGGGGCCGGCTATGCCGCCCTCACCCTGCGCAATTTTGGCAAGACCACGCGCAAGAACCCCTTCCCTAACACCATGTTCTGGCAATCGATGCACAAGATCTTGTCCATCCCCGCCGACGAAATCCAGGATACTCATATCACCATCCTGACAGCTATGCTCAAGACCTCCGCCGAGCGGGTCGTGGGTTTCTTTGGACACGTCGGACTGGCCTTGATGAGACTGGCGATAGTTGACCTTCCCAGCAGACTTCCTAACGAGACCATGAGTGTGAAACAGTTGAAACTACTCAAGGATCTTTACCAGCGAGAAAAGAACATCATCATATGAGCGACGGAAAGCTCAAGGACTTCTTTCAGCCACCTACAAGCTTCTTTGTTGGAAAGGTGTAGGTTACACACAGCTGGGGCTGTCAGTCCCAATCGGCCATCGATGCTGTGCACACTCCCTGCAGAAAGTGGCAGATTACTCCACGAGTCTCGACCGAAATTATCCCGAGTCTACGCCGTGATCGACCATGCCAGACTGCAGCTCCAGATATCTAGGACGCGCGCCTCTGGATCAGGCAGCGCAGGGTTCCAAGATGTGCCGCCATCCCGAACAGGACATTCCATCGCATTTATGAATGCCCGCTTGACCACTTGCATCGCAGGCAACCTTTCTAAGTTTATTAAAACTCCAAACCTTAGAGGCGGGGCGACATTTAGCTATTTGAAGAATACTAGCGAAGAAGAAGGTTAATTATACAAAGTGACATAATACCATTTCCGGGTTCACACATTTACATTTGATCTGTGACGCAAACGGAGGGCCATCCCGGCATGTACGACCACGACCACCATGGCGGCTGTAGGAAATCATCAAAGATAATCAAGCAATCATCAGAGAATCATCAACACTTTGGTCACACAGTTGGCCCAACCAATGGTGACCACTCGGGACTTTCTGATGGGGGAACCATCCGATGGGGACCAAAGCCAGCCAGCCTTGCCCACAACAATAATGCCTACACAGTCACGCCACTTGGTATCCATGTACCCTCCCAGTCCAGACCGACATACCCGTCATTCGGCCGGTTGGAACATTGCTAGGTTGGACGATGGCCTGTTGTTTCCCGGTCGGCCCGTGTTAGGTTGGGTGGTTTCCGAGTCGATCAATTCCGGTGGATCATCATTCATCATCTGCCATCTCACTGCAGTGCCCTTTCCCAACGGCCAGTTTTATCATTATCTTCTCTTCTTGTACCTGATGACGCACAAGCTGTACACTGCTTCACTTTATTGTCCACCTATGTCACACAAAAGGGGCACTGTGATCGACTACTACCTTATCGGTGAATATTCCTACCATGTCGAACCATGTGTTTACAATCGAGCCGGTTTCCCGAGCTCTCAATATAAACTCGCATTTTTCGCCTAGTGGAGTATGAGCTGATTTTTGGACTCTCAAGATGTGATTCTTTCTCTTGACAATACCTCACTAACACAATATGGCTACAACTCTACCAATTGAGCTCATTTATTGCATTCTCGATTACCTCGATGTGGAAGACTACATCGCCGCTCGGGCAACCTGTCGGAAATGGCGGATCGCAGCCTCGACCTCGTCCATCATTCGAAACACCCTTCAGCAGGTCCCTGTCTCGCTGCCCTCTCGGACAGATCTCCTCACAAAGGAGGGTTGGAACAGCTACTTCTGTCAGATCGTCCGTCAGAACTTGCTGGGATGCCGCAACAGCGTCCAGAAAACGCAATCGAGGCGCGAGCTCCCTCCAGAATGCTCGCATTGTACGATATACGACATCTCTCGCGACGGCCGGAAGCTTGTCGTGCTGAAAGGCGCACGAGCATTGCTGTATAGCCGCTCAGACGCCGACAGTCCCTGGGAATTCCTCCGCTCCTCACCTTTGTACTCACTCTGGACATCAGTATGTCCTGCAGTGCTAGGCGCATCACAGCATACAGAGTACCGCATCGCGCTCTCGTCAGACGGGCAGTTCCTCGCAGTAGGGCTGGACAAGACGGTTCAGATCTATAGCCTGCTCGGAGACCTGGACGGCCTCACCTCGCCTGCCCAGCATGCCGTGAACCAGGAAAACAGATTCCTCCATCCGCCACCTGCCAACTACGAGGAAACTAACGGCACGATCGAGAGCCTCGAATTCGCCGAGGACGACGACACTCTGCTCCGCGTCGCAATCGCCCAGGACACTACCGCTTTCCAACCGACTCGCGTGCGCTACCTAGGCAATCCAGACCGCAAGCCCGTAGGCCCTACCTCCCTCGCATACTGGCGTGCCGCCATCAACCAAGTCTACCTCGACTCCGCCTCCATGGCCGGCACCCTCAGCCCGGGCGACAGAGACAAAGTCTCTCTACGAGGCCTCCAGCTCCTGCCGCGGAGCTATCGCCGCCCCCCGCAGCCATCCACAGCCGACAATGACGCTCACCCATGGCAGCGATATTTCACCGCATGCCTCCAGAGCAGCACCAGCACAAGCGGCTACTGCATCGGCCAAATCGAAACATCCCCCACCCTCCCGTCCTCCGCACAAACAATAGCCATTGTCCACCTCCTGCCCAGCCGACAAGCCCACTCGACAATGCCCCAAATCACCCCCTTCACCATCCCCTCAGACCTGCCCTCACCTTCCCCCACCACCGATCCCTCCAAACCCACCCCCACCACCCCGCAAACCAACCCCTCCCACCGCAAATCAACCTTCCAAACAACAGACACCCACCACAAAACCACCACCCTCCACGCCGCCACAACCGCGAGATGGAACACCGCCAACCTCCCCACCGCGGCACCCACCACCACCAGCGCGGCCCCGCTCCTCGCCGTCTCCCCCGACGCAAGCCTAATGTGCCTCTACGAGCCCGGCACAGGCCATTACTCCAGCATCGCCGGCGGGGGCGCCCTCTACCTGTACAGCCTGCAAAACGGAGAACCACCTGCCATGCTTCTCCAAACCACAAAACAGGCTGCCCCTGAAGCAGCAGCGGCGGCGGCGCATCCAACCCAACCAACAGATCCCGCCACCCACACAACCCAACTCCCCAAAATCCCAACCTGGTCCCTCCTCCTCGACATCACAGACGAGGACATCCACTCCCTCCGCATCACGCCCATCCCTTCCCAGCACCACCACACACCAAAGAAATACACAATCACAGCCACGACAAGCGCCACTGCAAAACAGATCCTCTCGTGGCGGGTCTAGAGCACCCACACAACGGGGCCAGCCGTCACGCGAGCGAGCCAACAGCAAACAACCAAGGAAATCAGCAAGGCGCGCTGAACCTTTCACTTCCCTGGGAAGGGAAGCAAAGCACAAGCAAGAAGCAAGCCTGGCATATACATGGAAACCAAGGTGTTGGGATCTTCCCATTCAGCGTCATAGTTCGATTGGTTTCTAGAATGACACGTTCGAGCATTGAAGATCATGGTTGTCAATTGCTGGGCGGCATGATAGTGAATGTAATACTACTTTTTGTACGGGGTTCTTCTTAGCAGGATAGAATTTCACATCATGCATGTACGAGTTTCTGGGAAAGTGCTTAGTGTCTTGACTTGCGTCTTGATGATGATGCTACAAGTACAACTACCGGACAAAAAGGAAGGTAGGTACCTTACATCTCCTTCTGCAGTGTACCGTATACCAGAACAGGAAGAAAGATCTACATTCTTCAGCACTCTATGCCCAAACACTAAGCTAAAGTTCGTGCACTCAAGCAAAAGAAGAAAGAGCGATGACGCCATACCCATCTGCAAGGGGCCGGACTCCAGCCCACTTGGGTTCGCCCACTCATGAAAAAGACATCCTGCAAAAACACTATGTACCCGCCAACTCATAGGCCCATACCCATACAACCACCCAAAGACAACCATACTACGGAGTACCTCTAGACTCTAGACAAACCAAAACCGGTAAATCAGAAGTCAGATCAAGCAAAAGAACATCAACTCTTGTGTACAGTAGATACATATTTGCAGCAAAAGTCTCAAATCAAATCAAATCAAATCAAATCAAGATGAGGGGGTGGTATCCAGTTCAGAGTTAGGACGCAAGAAAAAGAGAGAGATAAAAACACATTGGATATGGTATAATAAACGAAAGGATAAGAAGATGTGTCATCAAAGATATGGAGAGATAAAAAGGTTTGCAGAGAGCACAACAAAACAAATCACATGACATGGATGGCCAAAAGGTAAGACTTCAGAGGAAAGAGAGTGTAAAAGATGCATCGTGATATAACAAGTCGGTAACAAAAGCAAGGAACCACTCGTCTCGTCAACAAGAGGCTCGGAAATTATCTATTAACATGAAATATGGAGAAAACCTGCGACGAAAGAATATGACAGTCTAGGATGATGAGGTTGGGGATGTGATCTGAGGTCCGAAAGGTCCATCGATCGTCTCTCGCGGTGACGCCGACACCACACCGTCGGCCGTGCTTTCTGTGTCCTCATGGAAAGAGCTGTGTGCATAGTCGGTCGGTTCGGCATCGTGGTCATAGCTTGATCGCCGGAGAAGAGGCGGAGTACTCGGCAGCTCACGCATTCGGCTCGCGCGCCCGGACGGTTGCTTGGGTGTCGCGTTGTAGTTTCTCAAGGGTCGAGTCTCTGAGGGGCGTCTCCCGCTCGCTGGCGCTAGGTTACTAGAGTTGGACGAGGCCTGGCGGAGGTTGCTTGCAGGAGGCGTTAAGAGCCCGGATAGAAACGAACCAGCACTTCCCTGCTTGGACGGTGTTTGTTCAGAGCCAACGCTTTCCCTCCCTTTGCGCCAGTTGCCCCATGCTGCCGCGGCCGCAAGTGGAAGCGAGCGCGGCGAAGCAGTCAGTTCCGCAAGCGAAGGAAGGCTCGGGAAAGCCTGTCCCGAGTGCACTCTTTCTCTCTCCTGTTGCTGCATCTGTAGATTGGCTTTCAGGCGAATGGCAGCGTCGCGGACAGCATGTTGATCGAAGGATGGCTGCGACACGGTGTTGATGATGTCCTGCAGATCATCGATCCGGACACCAAGCAGCTCACGCAGCCAGTTGATTTCAGTATCCCTCTCCTTGATCTTGTTGGGCGCTTCATTGTCAACGGTAGAGATTTCTTGCTCAAGCTCTTCAATGCGAGTTTCACGTTGCTGCAACTGGTCTTGGAGAACCAAAATCGATTCTCTCAAGGCTTGAGGGGAAATCTTCTCAGGGACCATGGAGCCATTAGGGTATGACATCGAAGGCGTACTGGCATGCGCAGACTGTGCGATGGCAGGGCCCGCTTTAGCAGACTGGGCAGCTTCAGCGGCAGCACGAGCAGCTTCCTGGGCGATCTGAAGTCGCTCCTCAAGATGCTGCACTCGGTCGTGAAGATGGTTGGCCTTGTCTTCAGACAGCGCCAAGCGTTCCAGCAGATGGCCTTCGTTTCGCTGTCTATCCTCAGAGGCATTGTGCAAAGCGCGGGCATGGCGTTCCCGGAGATCATTGAGAACGCGTTCGTGGTTTCGGTGCTGTTCTTCAACGGCCAGCTCTTGAGCTTGAGCGGCCGCTGCCAGGGCATTGACCTTTGTCTCGGCCGCCTCTTCCAACAACATCTCGTAGCGTTCCCGAGCCGTGTCATTGTCGAGTCGCACGTTGTCCATCTGGCTCTGAAGGCGAAGAATCTGTGCTTCTAATTCAGCCCGTACGATATTGACTTGGCTGTTAGCGGCGTCCAGATCCGACTCCAGTGAGTTTCTGGTGCGTTGGATTTCGATGCGACTGCTCTCGCGCGCCTCGTTGAACTCACGCTCGAACCGAGCCGCCTTGAGCTCCAAGTCGTGGTTCTGCAGACGCAAATTCGCCACAAGCTCCTCGAGCCTTGCATTCTCTTGTTGGGATTGACCGAAGATAAACTTCAGCTTCGCTGCTTCGCGTTCCTTTTCTTCGAGCCCATCAATGTCATACTCCAATTTCTCGCGCAGCTTCGTCTCTCGCCCATAAGCAGCACGCAATTCATTGTACTTGAAATTGAGCTCCTCCTCACGCCGGCGCCACGAGGATTGATCATGAGTCACATCCCTAATCACCGTCGCCATCTCCTCTTGGAGACGATCCAGCTTGTTACCGAGATTCTGCCGGACACTCATACCGTCCTCGAGGCGTGTCCTCAGCTGCTCAACAATGCCACGTAGACTCTTGTTCTCGGCCTTGGCCTCCTCAAGAGCAGCCTTGGATTGCTCGCTGTCTCGCTTGTAGTTGTCAGCTGTGACCCGGTATTCGTCGAGAGTGCCCTGGAGCGAGATGTTCTTGGACGAAAGCTCGGCAAGTGTGAATTTCAAGGTTTCGTGCTCTTGCTCAAGCGTATTGGCCTTGTGCTGAACAGTCTCGTAGTAAGGGATCTTCTCAGCCTTGAAGTGCAGCAACCGGGCCTCAGCAGATTCTGCAGCCTCGCTATGACGAACAGCATCCTCTTCAACCACCTTGAGAAGCCGCTGGAGTTCTGCAACAGAGTCTTGGGCTTCTCTGCGAAGCTTGTACTCTTGATCCGCTCGCTCATCAGATAGTCGAAGCATGTTCTTCAGGCCTTCAATCTGAAGCATTAGACTTTCAGCGGGAACCTCGTCCGTGTCGGAAGGGCGCGCATCACGCTGGCTCGAAAAGAACTCTTGCATCATCTCTCTGAGCTCTGTTACCGGGTCTTCTGACAATTTCTGGATGGTCAAGGCTTGTAAAGCCGAGACACTTTCCCGTAGCTGGGCGAATTCGGAAACCGCGTGTTCGTCCTTGGCTTGTTGGGGTGCGTGAGCAGCGAGTGCTTCCAAAACGACTGCCTTCAGCTTATCAAGCTTTTCTCTCTGGCGCATGTGTGATCTTGTACTGAATGATTCATTTTCTTCGTACACATCCTCTTCATCGTCAGCATCGCTATTGTCGCCGTCGGCAGATGCGCTCCAAAGTCTGGTATGAGAGCCAGATGTGATAGCCATGATAGACTCCTGAATCACTCCGAGCGCTCGCTCCATTGGCCCCAGCCGTTCGTCAATAGTCGAACCCACGAGGTCGTTGATACGGCGGTCAAAGAACCTGCTTCGGTTTACCAATTTCTCATCTTCGCCTGAGGAGATTACATCGTCCCAATCGCTGATGTGCTCAGTACGGCTCACAAGCTGGCGAATTGGCGAGGGGAAGCCAGAAACTGCACCCTTTGATGGAGAGGCGGAGAACTGAGATTGAGCCTCAAAGTCAAGCTTAGGAACATCCAATGTGTGAGGAGCTGGGCCGCGTCCTGGGCTTGGGCTTGGTGCCTCGCTTCTGATATCAGCAGGAACGTGGCGCTTTTCTTTGGTCACATGCATGACAGATTCAGGCACACGGCCATTGGGCTGAGGTGTGCTTAACCGTTCAATACCCACGTCCGAATCGTCGTTCAGCTGTTCCATGATAGCATTAAGCTCTTCCTCATCAGGAGAGTCTTCATCATCCTCCAGATGAGCTGGCTCGGGCAATCGCTCACGTTTCGGTGTGGCCTGTGGGCCGGCGGAAGTTTTCGAGGGTTCCTCAGTGGATGGTAAGACTTTATCCGCAGATTCCGGAACAGCTCGCTCTTGCTCTTCTTGGACAGCATCGCGTTCGATGGACTTTTGGACTCCAGGTAACGGCTCCGGCGCTGTGTGCTTGATTTCGAATTCGGACTCTGGCGCTGCAACAGCACTCTCGTTCTTCGTCTCCTGAGGAATCCAGGTGGAAGCTTCGCTGATAGGAGTGTCTTTTCGTTCGGCAAATTTGTCGCCTTGGGCGGAGACAGGTTTCGGGATCGCTGGGAGTGCTCCTCCATCCTCAGGTACAATGTTCTCTTTGCCATCGGCGGATACATGGGATGGCTGGCGCATGTGAGAGGATTGAAGGTTGGTCGCCTCGGCTAGCGCGGCAGGCACGCTAAGCTGGGCTTCAGTCTCTGAAAGTTCGTCGCCACGGCGAGCACGCTTGTGGCGGTCCGGCCGACCTGGTCTGCCATTGTCAGGCTCACTCTCATCCTTGCTTCTGTTATCCTCGTTGACATCATCAGGCCGTACAATGGGAATGGCTTTGGATTTCTTGGAGGCTTTCGACGACGCTTGGGAAAGGTCGACATCGCTGAAGATTTTGGTTCCAGTATTTGTGGATTCTTGCGGCGCGGCAGAGTAAGTGCTACCGCCAGGGTTGAACGCAGGGGCTGCAACGTTGAATGAGGCTGTGGAGAATTTGAATTCACCCG